ATACTCAGTCATTCAGAGTCAGTACCTCTAAAACACTGATAAGTCATTCGCTTGTATGGAACTTTTTCCTTCTAAACTACTATGCTCATGCAACCGCAAAAAAACAGAAACCGCCCAATGATTTTCACATGACGATCTTCACGAAATGAAGTATCAGACATAATATTTTGACCGCATTAGACTTCACGGTATTCACCACTCTGAGTTTGTGGATTGTAGGCGAGTTTGGTCGTCCTTTTCGGCTACTCCACGGCACCAAATACAGTCTCTGGAATGCCGGGTTTCCGTGGAGGGCTGGTTCCGGCGACCGAACAGTCTTCATCTTCCCTGCATACACTGACACCCTGAATACGCACTTTCGCGTCATTTCATGGAAAATTTTAGACGAATAACCTATTTTCGTCATCTAGTATTGCCAAAAGGAACAAACTACTTCAGCAACCTTCTAGTAGTGGTCCCATCATTTAGTTAACTGTGTCTACAAATTTTTCCGCAGCCAATTTCCCAAAAGTATGAAATAATGTATTAACTTGTTTACCTAGACAAACTCACTTCCCCACATGGCATACTTTTTAGCTTACTTCGAATTCTTGCCTTAGGATATATGACCTAATATTTCGCAAGTCTCTCTTTTATTTGAGCCATACTGACATATTATTCTGTTATTCGACAAGACATTCCTCGAGAACATGCTGTTTAACTTAATTGCATGCATGGGTACTTGGTATAAGTTCAGGTACTTGTCTTGCCGACTTTGTGCCGTTCCATGACGCAGCATCGCCCGGCTCGAATTTCCAGATCTTCCCTTCCAAGCTGCTGGGTTTCAGTTGAGCCATCCATTTCAACCATCGAAGAGGGTCTATTCCCACACTCATCTTTTGAACTTTAAAAGGGGTCCTACCGGAATCGAAGGGTTGATATTTCATTCTTTACTTATTCAGCTTGGAACCCTTACTTAATTTTGCCATCCCCCAGATTCTACGTGAGTGCTGAACCCACTGACGTCATCCCCTGTAGCGATTATTATTGCGGCTCTTAACATCCCGTCCCCGTTTTCAACAAAAGGGTCAGTTGATGATCACGGAGGGTTTCCCTGTTTCAGCGCCTTGCTGGTGGTTGTTCGCTTAGCGAAAAGTATCATGGTCGCATCTACCCCTACTTCGATGATCCTCACGATCCTATTATGTCACCTACTTACTTTGAATCTAGACGGACTATGGTAGACCGCGGTTGGTCCCTCCAATCTCGCTACTTTTACACGAATACCCTCATCTGGTCTAGGAACTCTCGCTTGGCGAGGGGCGTTTCAAAAGCCTATATACTCTCAGCTGTGGGCAGTTTTCTCCCGCAGGCAGATTCCCCTCCCCACGAGTGACATTTTTCCGTCTCCTTAAGAACTGACAAATTATATACATTTCATGTTTTCTCCAACCGATTTGTGGAGGAATTTTTTTTACTGTTACTTACTTTTTCCCATGTAACTCCATTATGATTGCAAATGAAACACTGTACATGTTTATTTATTTGATCCCGGATTCGCTCGTTAATGTAATTTTTATGTATTTTTAATTTGCACTGACGGTACCCTCGTGGGTGCTTATTAAAGCAATTTATTATTTGCCATTTATGAATTGTTGCCCAAATAATTTGTCCGAAGGTTTTTCGCTATCTTCTGAGAAAATTAGAAAATCTCAGCGACCCAGAACCTTTCATTCAACAACTTATTGTCGATTGCTTAGACCCATAGACTACTCAGAATTGCATATGATATGTTTATTGTACTTAATTAGCGAGAACTGCCCATGTGTTCTCTCCCGGGAGGACGGAGGAATGGGAACGTTCTCAGTAGTATAGGCGGTCTTGTGCTAATTTCCAGGAAGGTTACTTATTCCTGTATCCTAACCCTTACCCTGTAATTAACCTTGAATCTAATCCTTACCTTGACCCTAGTTGCCCTGGAATCTAATGCAGTGCAACGTGGATTAGGGGATTCCCATTCCCGTGTCCTGCCGGTGCGCACTTACGTGGTCCTCACCTGTGAATTCTATCCCATCTCCATCATGAGGTTTAGACAAAAATGGACGCGCACCTGTGGCTATACTCCACTTTTGAATTCAGTCATCAAATTCCTGCTTGGAAATAGATGGCTTATATTAAAAATTATATCACACTAACATAGGCATTTTCAAAGCCTTCTACTCAGTATGTGGCTATTATTTAGGTCAACTAAAATAATTTCTCGCATTCAATCACCCTTCGGGAGCGTCTGGTTTAAAGGAATACATACGAGCTTTTGTTGAAGTGTTCGGTTGAAAGAAGTAGATCCACAGATGAGCGTATTCCAATCCACTCACGATGAGGAAGGTTTGTGTCAAACTTCGACTTGACCGTCTAAAGCTCACAGGAAAGATATTTAGATAATTTGAAAGGGTCGGGTATGGCAATGCTCGTTAAGCTCTGACAAACTTTGTATTGCGCCAATAATCCCTTTCGCAGATTTTGCAATATTGCTGCATCTAATGTATCCAGGCACAAATTGAGTATTTAGGTCGTGGGCTTACAAATGTTTGAACGAATTTGGAGAAGCGGTCTTAACCTCAAATTTAATTACCCACTTGGTAGCGTGCATCTTTGCAGTTGTGACCTCAGCTGCCACAACGCAGTAAGTTGACGTTTGTAGACTGTTCAACTTTCAACATCCTTCCTATTTATGCTTGTCAGAGTGGCATTTCGTGTAGATGCAAAATTCATGTATCCGAGACCCGATTCGGATTTTCAAGCTGCAGTAAGGTATATTTGTTTGTGTTAAATGACGGAAGCCATCGAAGAAACCGCATTCCCTATTTAGAGAGGTTTTCATGAAATCCCACCCTATCGACGACATTATACATGACTTTTAAGATTTCTGATATTACACATTTACAGCCCTTAGCATGAATTTTTGCAGAGCTCCATGCCCATGAATTTATGCCATCATTGGTCCTGTCCTATACCGACAAATTAGGAATGCCGGGCTGGAAATTCTCGACCAATTTAGAAGGCTTGCTTTGGATATACATTACTCCTAACGAGCAAACTAGTCGGTAAGGATTTATACTACCGAGGATTTTTCAAAAAACGGTGTGGATGACACGCACATTATGGCTTTAATCGAGCGTTCCAGTGCAGCCTTGTATGACAAACTATTTTGATCACGCAGGATGTTCCTTTACGAATGTCTCATTCGACATTGAACAGGACATTGTGAGTCTCCAAACAGTTCATAGATTTCCCTGCATAGATTTCCTTTCATCTCTAGTGATTCGCAGCAAACAGACATCAGACCATAAACGTACAACTACCTCTTTAAGATGAACGTAATCTGTGCCGCTTCGCAGTTGATGGGAAAAATTCAGTAACAATCAATTACCAAAAAAATGGTTATAAGTTAGCCAATTTTCGGGCAAATACAAAGAATAGTGATGTTGGTGTCAAATTTGTGATAGGAGATTTTTTCCCTGAACCTCCTGATTCTCCGGGAATCGTTTTTTCGCATGAGAGAAACCTTTCAAAGGCTGACGTCACCATGCCCTCCAGAACAAGTGGTACGGGAGCTCCCTCTTTTATGAAAGGAATTTGGGAACACAACAAGGAATTAGTCATATCTGTTAGCGCTGTCGAAATTATTGAGACAGTCTTCGGTTGTCCTAGCAGTCGTTAGATTCTGGCCACATGTATTCTCTCAGATAACTACAAATAGCTCACATATTTTGCTATTTGCTTCTATCTGTGCTCATATTTAATCTTGCTGGGTTCCACAATTTGTTTATAACTTCGTCAACTATTATGATTGTTACTGTTTCCTAATGTATTTTGTAATTCATTTGTCTAACTTCCCGCAAATTTCCGACCGTTTCCATCATTTTGTATGGCTGTTGGCAACTCCGCTTTTCAGTTTGTGCTTTAGCGCACTAACTACTCTGCTGCAGAACGTCCGTGAATGGCAACAGTAACTAGTGTTCTTTACTTAACCTTTTAGAACTGTCGGCTATCAAATCCTACTTAACAAACAGCTAGTTACTACATCCTCATTTTCAGATGTTATTGCTAATTATGCCCCAATTCTTGCTGCGGCAGATGTCGATGTCACTTTTGCCGTTATATTTTTTCGTATATAAACCTCTTTTCTAAAATACTGTCAGCAGTCCGCCACGGAATACAAGTTCATCATGTTAAACGGATTTGTTTATCGAAATTCCACATGCCCGTACTGAGGAAGCATTTCCACGAAATCTCAAGCATACTGCCGTAAGACGCGCATTGGTCTGAAGATCAAAGAGGTAAGAACATGTTTCTGTGAACTACATAATAAGATTTCCCGCAGGCAATTTGATCGCAGTGGCTAAGTCAGATAAATTATTTCGCTGTTGGTGTGTTTCCTCGACAAGTCGAACTCATTTTCGTAACGTTACTCTGTGCAAACCCTGAGTCCAAATCAATTTTTCCTTCCTGGGTTTGAGTCCCCAGTTTAAACAGTTTACACTTTTCTCTTTCAGGTTTTCTGGTTTAATTAATCATGTCTGCTTCAGTTTTACTCAAAACACAATATTTTGTTTTTTCCAATAATATTTTGCAATGACAATCTCTCCTGAAACTTTAGACATGCGATATCCGCCGTATCATGTATCCAGATTATCTCAAGGTACAAAAAGATTTCATGTTGAAGAGGAAAATATTGAGGCACCTGAATAGTTAATGGTCTATCTGTTCTTGACACACAGGGCGAAGGGATTACTAGTTATGTAATTCGTCCTGATTTAACGTAAATGCCCTTGGTACACGACAGTAACTATTGAAATCAGTCTTTTTAGACACCTTAGGCCTTCAAAAAGTTGCAGAGCTTTGATTGTTAAACAATACTTATCCGCGTTGTTTTTCTTCATAAAGAACATTTCTTCGCCAATGACCGCGTCATAACAATAAACTCTGTGGGTCTTTTAAATAACTGGCTGTTGCGTGAAATGCCACCGAAAAAGGGGAAAGCTAATCTGACAGATGCGGAAAGGGCCGCTATTCAGCGGGCCCAAAAGCGGGCAGAATTAGAGGCAAAAAGAAAAAAGGGAGAGCTAGTGAAACAGTATTTGACTGTAATCCATTTTCTAGTAGCATAACATATGTAGGTAAAACTTGAAAAAGAGCAAAAAGCAACCATCGGAAACACCTTTCGTCTAAATCACCGATGGAGAACTTTACTGCGAGAGGAAAAAGTAAAAGAACTCAAGGCAGATTTAGAAATACTGCGCCACACATTCGAAAGGATTTGTGACAGGTTTCCTATGATGTCAACTTTTGGTATTTTGTAGGAAGGACAATATACTTAAAACGTTAAAGCTGGAGCTTGAAGAATCAGAAGAACAGTATATGATGTCTTTAAGAAACCACCTTTACAATCTACACCTTTTAGTCGGTAATTTTATCTTCTAGTTCATTTCGTGCACATTGAATACTCCAGAATTTAAATGTGTCAGATGATGCCAGATTGTTGTTTCGGTTTAATCTACCCTTTTCTAAATTTAACTAAGCTGCTTAACTTTTTTTAACTCATGTTACTTTATTGTCATTACCTACGATCTACCCATAGTTCGTGAAAAGCTCAGGGAATATTTTTGACGATCTATGTCCAGTTCATGTGATTATGATCTACAACTGCGCATTTCGACATCTCGAGCAGAAAAGGCTTTCTACTGTTAGCGTTTTGGATGGAATCCCAGTATTTTACTACGGACATGACTCGCCGAATGTGCGAAAGACACCTTGTCTTCTATTCGTAGACCGCTAATGTACCGTCATTGACAAGCATTTCTTTGCCTAGAGCTACAAAACCAGCGTCTCGAAAGAATGAAATATGCCTTTGATGAGGAACTTCATATGATCAAACGGGAGTTCGACGCAGGTAAAGTTTTCCTTAATCCTAAGCTTTGTATTCAAAAAAGAAAAGGAATTCATGTCAACGAAACATGAAAACCAGATCAATGATTTAAAGGATATATATGTCGCATTTGACAAACACTTCTTGCAAAAAGAGACCGAGGCCAGAAATGAATATGGAAGCACAAGGGATGAAATGAAAAATAAAGTAGGTTTGTATTTGCTCATCTGCTGGTGGCTCGAATGGGATGGTTTTAACCATGAAGCGGTTAGCTCAGAATGTAGGCCAACACTTTTCTCAAGCAGGTTGACCTAATTTTTCCTCCCGTTTCTGTCTATATTTGGGTGCACATCGCATGGGCGTTCCTAGATCACAATTTTGCTACTCATTATAACTTATCTGACATCACTAACGTACTTTAAGTTATGCTCTTGTATTTTCAAATTGTACGCCTTCCTTATCAATACTTTGTGCTGTTTCAGAATACAAGTGTGAAGCTTAACAGGCTCAATCTGCATCGAACTTAAAAATGAAGCAAAGTACCAGGGGACAAACCTGGTCCTTTCTAGCCTATTGAGATGTAGGCTTGGTCCTTTCTAGCCTATTTGCGTTTTGGCAGGCCAATCCAACCGCCTGTATTTCCTTCCGTTAGTATTGATGTTATGCGTAATAAAGTTAAAAAGGTAAATGAAAAAGGTAGATTTAAGTCCAGAAACTCAATTAATGATACTTGCAATGGAAAAAGAGGAACCGACTGACTAGCACATAGGTGCATCAGTTGCAGGTCGATGCAATCATTAAGCGTGGTTAAACCATGTGATAATTGTAGGCAAATTAAACAGCAGAATCAGGAACGACATGGCAACTTCAGGTATATCATACGTTCTTCCCATAGAGGGATTTAAAGTTCGTTCGTGGAATCACCTTTTGCGTGTCCAGTAACCAACATTCGATTCAAATGTTCCTTCTCGATATTACAGGGAAATCTTTAGAGATGACTCCAAAAACCTTATTCAGGTCGAAGTATCCAATTGACAATAGAAATGGACGCTATTTTCAGTATTTAATCATAGTTCTCACTTTCTGTAAATACACAATAATGTCAAATCCTACAATCAAATTCCATCTGCCATTGCAGAGTCTTGAAGACAAACACGGCCTGCGAATCGTTTTGGAGAAAAAGGTCAACGTTCTATGGGCCGAGTACACTCAATGTCAGGCTAATTACAACCGCGCCACTGAGGAGCGCCGATCGTTGTTTGAAACCCTGAAGGCCCGCGATGAACAATCCGTCATTGAAATTGAGCGCCAAATGATACGACTGCGCGAGATTAATGCCAAAATAGCGTCCGCAAAGGCCAAGAGGAACCGCATTCTCGAAGAATTCGAGGAAAAGAATACTCTCCTGCGAGAAGAACGGGAGAAACTTGGCATTCATTTCATGGGCCTGAAAGCACAAATAAATCAGCTACATGAGAAGCAGCATGTTAAGCTGACGAAGATGGCTATTATTGCATCTGATGTCCGAAAGAAGGTTTGGCTTTTTTGTATTTACAGTCTCCTTTATGCAAGTTGGCAATTCGCCAGTTACCCCGGGCACTCAAAGGTTTCTAGCTTATAAGACCTCGATTTGTAGATGCATATTCAGGGTCCTGCAGAAGCCACTGTACTGGGAATGCTGGGGGACCCACTGACGGGCTGAATCCCTCGCAGCTATGTCATGCAGCAGCAGAATATCGGCGAAACACCTGTGCATGGACTTTTGGCTACTATCCGTGCTCTTAGTATGAAACCCCTTTACCCTAAAGTCACTGTATTGTTTTGACAAATTCATAAAAACTAAACTAGAAACTAGGCTTATTCATACTTTTCTAACTAACGGAGGGATTATTGCAGTTTTATTTGCTAGACTTGCCATCATGTTCCACTTCCGGAGGCAGGCCTCTCCTACATTTTGATGTCACTTTGCTTCTCTCTACGTAGGCCGTGCCGATTTTTCCCTCAAGTTGTGATAGGTAACGCAGTTAAGTGGCGTACATCTTGACTTTTATGTAGTCTTAGAGAAAAAAGTTTGGGCTGAGGTCAGGGCAGCGTGCAGCTCATTTGTGAGAATTCCTTTGACCGATCCATCGGTCAGAAAACCTGATGTTCGGGAAATCCCTCACTAACCTGGAAGAATGGAGACGGCTCTGTCTTGTTAAAAAAAGACATTGGCAAGGTCATTTCTTGCCTGAAATTCGGGAATTGCAAACTCCTGCAGCATCTTCAGGCGATTTTGGCCTGCAACGGCGGTCGTGTTACCGGATGCACCGCGGCACAAAAGTGGTCTAATCAGTCTTATTCCAAATATGGCATACCAAATTACCAGCTCCAGTGAGTTTTGTTCATGCTCCAGAATCTCTGCTGAGTTTGATTTTCCCCAAATTCGATACCCGCGTCGGTTTTCCAGATCAGCGAGAAGATGGATTCGTTGCTGAGCCATAGGTTTTCCAAGAGCTAAGGGTCGCTTTGGTAATGGTGGAGGAGGGACTTATACCTGTCCACACCAACACCACAGTCTTCCACTTAAGGCGTTCGAAAGACCTGAAGTCGGCACGGGCAGAGCTTTGTCATTCTTCGAAGCATCCGTCAAATCGAGTTCCTGTTGACGCGGTGTTCCAACCCAGTCAGCCGGATGGACTTTCCTTGGTTTTGCGCGAACGCCTGCCACGGGAGTTTGGTGTTTTAATCAGTGGTGTTAGCAGCAGTTTTGTCAAGGGCGGACGCTGTTTTCAGAAATTTGTCATGGATGGCGTCAGTTGGGCTACGTGTTGGAGTAGCCTGACGGCCATGAATCTTTCCGTGACCGTTTTGGACTGCACTCGAAGACTGAAAAGTTTCTAGCCGAGCGGGAATTCTGTGAAGCTGTTTCAACACTAACTGGTGAGCCATGGGCGACGAAATGATATGCTTTAAGAAAATGCTAATTCTAAACTGTTAAATGCTGATAGTTTCATGTTTTTTGCGAATGCCATCCAAAAAGAAATAGAAAAAAGAATGCTTGTAGCGGATTCGGAACATTTTGAAAAGATCTCACGATACATATATTCCAATCTGCTTTGTTCCAACGGAAATTCAAAAAGGGCTTATTGGTTCCGAAGTTACTTCTATCGTCCGCTTTTCAACAAGCGGCAATGGTCAAAGATGGTTATTCTCCCTGCTGCTATTTTGAGTATTTTTTGGTGACTTATGTCACCTTGCATTCAGAGATTTTATTTTGAACAGGGAGGGTGGCTTACCGACTTGCAAACCACGAAGGAGGGCGGTAAATTGATTTATTAACCGTCGTCAGCCAGCCTCACGTACTCTCAGGTAGAGTGAAAACATGGGTTCGAAGCCGGACTCTTTTTATTACTGATCTTCGGCAAGCCCAACACCCTAACTACTGAGCCAAGGGTCTGTTACCCTGTCAGCCGCGACCGGGAATGCCGATTTGAGTTGGGTTACGGGACTCGTTTGTCCCGTTGGGCCCAAGGGCTGAATGCACAGCCCAAACGGTGAGCGCAATCCCAATACATGTTAACATTTCCAGTCGCAACCGACAGGACAACGAGCTCGTAGCTTAGTGGTTGGAGCTTTTGACTTTCCAGCGCTCAATAGCCCAAAGAACCTGAAGTTAGGCAAGGCTGGCTGATGACGGCTAATAGGCCCGAAATGGTCGTGCCGGTCTCCCTTGCCCTCGTCCGAAATCCCTTCAGCAAATATGAAATCGTTAAACTTCACAGTAGGCATTCCACGATGCGTTTGAATGAAGACCTAGGCCAGTAAAAATACAGCCAATAGAAATATAGAAATGAGGCAGTTGATGACTGCGCAGAAGGAAATAAATTACAATTTTGTTGAGCTTTTTCGGTAGAATACTAGAAAAAGATTGCGAACATAAAACGAGACTTCCATATAAGCAAGGGTCTATGCTTGTATTCCCTAGGTTGTGATATGCGTGTCGAAAGTCGCCTTTGGGTTAAATGAATCGAGCATAAATGATTGGAATGTGAATTCGAGGTCTCAAATTCGTGGACAAAAAAGACTCTTCTGTTCTTGAGCTCAGAAGACCAGTTGGTGAGCATATGTGTGCTTTCGAAAAATTCCCAGCGGACAGTACACTTATGTGGGAACAGGGTACAAGTAAAACACGTGATTGATTAGAGAAATCTCCCATAGTTCGTCTTTTCATAAAAGTGGGATGTTGGAATAGGGGATGGGAAGTAATACGGGGGCAGTGAATTAGAATACAGTCGGAGTTAGGCGGAGGAGTGAGGGAAGGACGCGAAGGAGTACATGCAGTTAACCGACCTTTGACCACGATAGGTGCGGAACCTATACCAGGTCCTTCTATGGGCACCAGATCGGCTTTCATAACCTGATGTCAGTCGCCTCTGCAGTTGCTGGCGGACACTGACCCAGTGGCTTAGGGTAATTCGGGGGGACCCTGCAAATCACACGGAAGGCGTTTTCGTATTCCTGGGGCCTTTTGTGGGAGTTCCAATGTGCCCTGAACTCCCCTAAGTCACTGGGTCAGCGTCTGCTAGCGACAGCAAAGACGACTGCCATCAGGTTACAAAAACCCGTCCGGTGCGCGCAGTAGAATCTGGTATAAGCTCCCCGCCTACCGTGATCAAAGATCAGTTAGCTGCACGCACTCATCTGCGCCCTACCGCCTAATTCACTGTCACCTGTTACGCCCCACCCCTTATTCCCACACCCTACTTGCATGAAAAGACGAACCATAATCGATTTCTCTTATCACTCACGTGTTTTACTCGATGATGGGAATTTGTCGAAGGCACACGTATGTCTTACGGTCGTCTAACTTATTATACTACTACAATTGGATAATTTTCCCTGCAAATTAGTCCTCTGCTCACATTTTGCTATGATCTAAAAATTAAACCTGTGCTAAGTAAAGTGGGCTTTCCGTGCGCAGGTCTGTGGTGAATTTGAACTTTTGAGAATGAGGAATTCCTTGATATGCTTCCACTCTTCAAAAAGGGATTCCTTACTGTAGTTCACAGATGAGGACCCATCCAAGAGGATCGCCTTATGTCTTACAGATTCCAAAGGAAGATTTCCGACAAATAATACTGTTAATTAATTAGTGTTTTGACAGATTTGAGTAATTCGTTTGACCATATTGTGAAAAAATCGACGGTCTTGGTGGAATACGAACCCACGACAGCAAGGGTAAGGCCTGAGTACACTCAACGCTCTAAACATAGTTCTGCTGATCGTATTGATATATTGGTAAATCGTTCGGTCTTTTACTTCAGATGGATGAGCTTAACAAACGGGCAGAGCAGATCATCCAGATCGGTGAGGACTGCCGAAAGCTGGAGACAGAAGAGGAGAAGGTACTGCCATTCTATGCATCTTGTCTAAGCCAAGAAGAGGAGGAGAAGTTGGCTAATGAGATCCAGGATACCGAGGATCAGAATGTCAAAGTGGTATGTTGGCCAAGAAATTACTGGTATAGATGTAGACTTAGACGACACCCCTCCTTGTGACATCTGGCGTGAAAATCGATATGGTCGCATCAGGGGTGCAAATTCATGCCCATGACCATCTCGATAAAACCACATCGCCTACAAAGACTACACTATGCAAATAATTACTATTTCAGTAGTATTAATTTTTCTCATCGATTTTAGATGCCCTTATAAATTAAAATATATTTCATCGAAAACATTAATAAAATATGCATTCTTCCACTCTTTTGTAGAAAATTACGTCTTCTTCTAAGTTTATGCACGACGGATGGGTATAATTCAGTTCTAAAAGACTTTTCTGATTTCCGAATAATTTTTGACCCGATCTGCCAATACAATTGTATTCAGGGTTTCCAAACTACCAGCTGTATATATTCTGTGTACGGAAAACCATACATTTCTATACGCTATAAAGAGGAAGCCGTATGGGGTTCATAAAATTTTGCAGTGGATTTGAGCCCTTTTGTAAACTTTACAAGCAATACTAGGAAATGCAGATGTTTTATGATGTTTTGTGTTTTCTGAGCGCGCATTCCGCAGTCTTAAAAAGTCTCCTGGTTAGAAACTATTTAAACCGCATCGTACCCTTCTTTCAATTATAAATTTTGAAAAAGATGTCATTTTCTGTGACCGAGTAGAAAAATGAATATTTTATGCATGTTTTCTGTGAAGTATATTTAAATTTACAGGGGCATCGAAAATCAAGGAGAGAAACTCACACTACTTGAGTAGTCATTTTTTGCAGAAAGTGCTCTTTGCAGGCGGCCGGAAAGAAGTTAATTCAAAAGCCGGCTACTCACAGTAACTGAAATATTGCGGAATTATGCTGCAGGCTAAATACCAAAACCCTACTTAAGTCATTTTTTCGAGTCGAAAACGCATTTCAGAATTTCAGTTAACATTTCATGAGTTAGCACATCTACTGTACTCTCCGGATTTTCACATCAGGTGCTAATCACTTTCAATTTAAGCAGCGTATTTAAGATGACCGGTGAGCGCGTCTCTATTACTGTATATTCCCGATCGCAACTGGCAAGACAGCGAGCACATGGCTCAGTGGTTAGAGGCGTTGGACTTCTAACTAACATGTCATGGGATCGAGCCCCAGGTGTTCTTCACCTCGGGGTTGTGTATGACTGGCTGGCGACGGCTAGTAAGCCAAAGATGGCTATTTTGGTCTCCCCTGTCTCTGTCGATAATGTCTCTCTGCATATATCGTTCGCCGCTGTGCGGCTGCTGGTTGGACTTTAGAGGGAGCCCTACGGCATAAGCGGATGAGCAAGTTCCGTAAAACGATCGGTGAGCGCCCCTCTACCAAAGTCACAAGTCTTTTGTGCCATTGTGAAGAGGCTGATGTACGACACGATCGTGTTGCTCTAAAATCCAGGGAGTTAGAGTTGGGGTTGGAGTTAGGATATGGGAATAACTACCACCCTGTAATTTAGCGCAAGGCCACCTGTAGCGCTATGGGGTACTTATGCCACGCCCACGCAAGAGGTCATTCGCCAGTTGTGAAACTTTGGCAGGGACCTGAACTACGTTGTAGATTCCACAGACATTTGTAAAAGCCACTTGAGTAATCATTTTACCCTTTTGAAAATCGCCATAACTGCGATGGTTTGAAGTCGAAAGGATACCCCTCCATCATTTTGAAGGAAAACAAGGTTTCCTACAGAATGAGCATAAGTAATTACCACCTGCTTGTGTCTATTCCATGAACTACGTTTGAATTTCTGCAGATATCAACGATCAGATATAAATTTGCACGTTAATTATGCGGACATTGTGACTCAGTTGATTTGTTCAGGTAGTCTAATGTGCATGTGAGTCAGACTAACGCCTCCAAATAAGTTATTCTTCCTGCTGGAGGCCATGTTTCGAAGTTTTCGTCAGTGTCTCACCATATATCAGATAATCTACTTACTTCTCATTAGGCGACAACAGCTTCCTTCCTGTGCCAAGGGATGTCACACCGCATGATAGCTCGACCGTCGTTGCCGACGATGTCCACCGTGTGCCCCACAGCTGCAGCAGCGGTGGGAGCAGGGACGGTGACTTGCTCGGGGGTTTATAGTGCCAGTAGACTTGCGCTGCATCTACCTGCACTCTCTCCTCCTCCCCCGCCCGAGCCCGGTGTCAAGACAGAGTCAAGAAGACCGGAGACGATGGAGGTCGCAGGTGGATAGCTTGGACATATCCTCGCCTTGACGCTCCACTCCGTACCCCCTGGTCTACACAACAAATGATCAGGATTTTGACCGCCAAAACAATGGAGGGCATGACAGTGGTCCCAGTTGTGCGACGACTGCCGACAATAGGGTCTGCTCACACCCCCCCCCCCCCTAGATGTTGGCATTTGTTATTACGCAAAGATAACGCCTGCCAGAATCCGATGTGGCCCGGTGTTGGTCCTACGCATCTAACACACATACACTTGGTCCGCGCATGATGGACCAAGTTTTCTCACAAATAAGGAAGAGACGTCCTGGCTCACAACTTAGTGAAAATACCCTAGAGGTCACATCAAGAAGGAGCCGTTTCGGCCTGGCTCTCCGTCCTGACAGGGGTGCCGAGTTATCCCGTCAGCTGACAGCTCACCGTGATTGTTTATGGTGCAGGAATATACGCGGAGTGCTGTGAAGACATGGTTCCCATAGTCACTGTCACTCTCTCCTCCCTAATCCAGACACCAGTTTATTGTTCAAGCCGGGGATTGGCCGACGATTGAATAGCAAGGGTCTAATAAATGTCTATTTTGTGCGCTCCTTGCAGCTTCTGAAACAGTATGCGCCGCTTGAACTATTTTGGCGACGTTTTAACAAAGTCCAGTTGGACAGGCTGGCTCTGCTGAAGGAGCGAGATGTTCTGACGAATCAGAACGACAATCTGAAGCACCTTCTCACCCAGTACCTGGACGGCCTGTCTGTGAATGATGAAATCCTCGCAAAGCCGAATTCTCTGTTTGTGGTCAATGGAAGGAGCAACCTCAAGTGAGTGTCCCAGTGCACTTTTTTAAGTTTTAGTTACGGAATTTACAGCCTCCACGCTATCGTCAATTCGACAAAGTTGCAGGCTAAACCGGTTGCTGGCAAATGAGCCAGGAAATCTACCTCATTTTCCAGAAACTGTATTGTTGGCTCCCTTTAAAATGGTAGGCGCGCACTTCAAATGGAACCCGGCAAATACAGGTCCAAATTAACATTTTTCAGACTGACATTTCTGTTAATAGTAATAATGATGATGGGAATCGTTGAGGAGGGATGCAATAAAGACTCGAAAGAAGTAAAGAACCATCATTGATGCACTTTCCGTTCCTAGTTAGTCATACTTAAATCCAGACTGGTGCATGAGGACCGAGCCAAAATCAGTTATTTCACGAGCCTACTTTCGAGCTAAATATTACATATTAGGCTACGGGACCACCTTCTATCGGTCGTAGTCGGAAATATTCACAGTCGTATTGCAGATGTATTCACAAGGCTTTTTGTATTACCCCCTTAGGGAAATGGGGTTCTCGGAATTTTAGCGTTTTGGCGTCCAGACCACTTGGTTGGAGGCGAATATGCACCTTCCAGGCTATTGTTTGAAAGGAGACAATGACGCGATCACTGGAACGGTAGGTTTATGAGTCCGACTACAAAAATGTTCACTAACTGTTACACTCCCATAGTCTCTGGCGATGGACTCGTGAAAGAGTTAGAAAGCTCAGACTTGTACACCTACTGTTCCAGTGATCGCGTCTTCGTCTTCTTTTCAGATCACTAGGTACTTGGGTCTGTCCGACTCGATTGCCTCTTGCTCTCAGTGGTGCCAGAGTCCTGGCATTCATGAAATATTGTGGTAGTTTATCCGTGTCCTAGACCGGTTAAGGGAGCCTGCGGAAATCAGTCTGTAGAAACTTGTAGGCAACTGTCTCAAAAGACTTCGAATTCCCTATTTTTCCTTTTAAAAATGCTATCTTCTTTCGAGTGCAGAAATCGGAAACTGGACTAACAGAATCCTTATTCGTTGCTTCCAGAAAATGGACTGAGTTTAGCTCGTTGTGTTTTCACTTATGAAATTGATAAATGTAAGGATCGGGTGAAAGCCCCTAAGCATCTGTGGCATACAAAGCCTACCTTCAATACTTATTTAAGTGGGTTTTAGTCCGACACGATTATTTCGGTTTGGTGTTTCATCGTACAATGTTGGGTCTCTGTTGTAGACGGTCTGGTGCATTACCTACAGTGATCTCAGGTCAGAGAGTTGAGAAGCGATCGTTGCAGACACTAACTGTTTATTTTTTTAATTGCCCTGCTTAATTTAAGTTGCTATATGTCAATTCATTAAGACTTTTCTGTCCGAAAAACAAATGTACCAAGTATCTATACTTATTTTACCATTCCTCTATGCATACATAGGCCCCGCTCGTAAAACCCCTATTACCACCTTTCGTATAAGACAGGCACTTTGGCTTGTCGTTTGTGATTGGGGGCCTTCAACCGATCGTTGTCTTAATAAATGACTGAAAGGGTTGGAATCGGAAAGCCAATAATTAGATCACTTGGACAGCGCTACCCCATTTCAACCCAGAGCTACTTGAACTGGGGTTTAAGGATTTCGGTTAATTTTTGCTGGATTTCCACACATACAGAAAATGGCGTTTAGATCACTTCATGGATAAAAAATAAGAAAAATAGTTTTATGTTTCAAATCGTCTTTATTACTTTGTTGTTATCGCTACGAGATTCTCAAAGGTAGACCCTATCGAATGCTTAGTTAACTACTGTTGATAGATTCGCTTAGGCGAGGCTCCTCTGACTCTTGTTCAAAAGTCCCTCATTCTAATTACTACATGTAACTACCGAGTACTGTCTAGCTCTGTACGCCACCACCAATTTCTGGCATTTAAGTGTTTCGAATAATGCAACACTACGGAAATTTGCGGGCCAGTAGAGATCTTTCATAAAATTGCAAACAAAGTATCCCTAACTTAAGTAAAGTTTACATTCGAAAAATATGGATAAAATACGTTTTTTCGAGTTTTGGTTTTGGATGACGCATTTTTTAGGGAAAAACAAAAAAACTCTTCATATAATTCATGATCTTTTGCTGCTAGTCCAAATCCGCTCATCAAGGATGCTCGTGTCCGGCCAGTGGCGACCGTGAAGTTAGAGGCGCTACACATTTACAAGGACTCCGTAACGTCTGGTTTGCTGGAGAAATGAAGGCATCACCTGCAGCTACAATAACCGAGGTGACCTACTTTTCGGGGACTCAGTCGTCAGAAGAAGTCCTTCTTTCATTGCTGTCACACTTCCCCCTCCCCAAATCCTACAAGAAATTTTCATGCTCGGAGTAAAAAATACAGACTTATGCTATCTGTATACGAGGACAGGCAAAAGTCTCTGGCCTACTGGAATCTACACTTCCAAAATAGATCTTTGCTACTGCTGTTGTTCTGGCCTTTGAAATGTATGCCAACCCATCAATTTAAAAACCGATTTTTGTATGAAGCAGGCACCTCCTTCTCTTCTGTCGTTTTCCAGGGAGATCTGTTTTTAGAAAAACAATGGACCCTCCAAGCGCATCCGCGCCTGTTCAAAAACCCGTTGTACCAGTAAATACGGCAAACACCTCTCCCAGTAGTTAAGAACAAGTTTCTGACTGACTTCCAAATGCAAGTTAGGCAATTTTTTCAATAAGTGAACTGGCCAAGAACCGCCATGGAAACACGTTTGTATGCTTATATCAGAATAAAATCAATTTCGTCGGTTTACAAAAAAAAGTGGACGACTTTATCATCAAGGCACCAGCGACTCCATTTGCGACCTTTGTGTATCTCAGGGATTTCTTGGGCGAACATGACAACAACATCCCGCTCAATATATGCAATGGGAAACCCAGCCTGAATGAAATGACGTTCGAATAAGGGGGTTCGTGTACTCGAAAAGCAACAATCTTGCGGAAGAAGAAAAATAGGAACGAGATAATACCGACAAAGACGAGGGAGACCGGAATGGCCATTTCTGGCTTATTAGCCGTCATCAGCCAGTCATACCCAGCCCCAAGTGTGGATCACTTGAGATTTGAACCCGGGATCTTTGGTCATGGAGTTTGACGCTCTACCATTGAGCCACGGGCCCGTTGTCCTGTCGGTTGTGATCGGTAATATTAATTATGACAGTGGGCGCTCGCCGATCAGGTTACGGAACATGCTCGTTCCGTTGTGCCTTGGGGCTCATACTAGAACCCTCGCAGGCAGTCGCACAGCGACTAGTAGTAAACATAGATGAGATGATATCGACAAAGACAAGGGAGACCGGAATGGCCATTTCTGGCTTATTAGCCGTCATCACTCAAAAGACTCAGTTGCGCGTAGGCACCCCAAAATGCGTGGATAACGTACTTTTCACTTCCACAGGAAACGGCATAATGCTACTAAGCAAACAACAGCAGAACTTTGTCCCGCGAATGTTCGTATATGAAATACTGAGGCAAAGCCCTTCAAATTTTAAATAATACTGGTCACTGCATTGCTATTCAGCCAGAGCAGATTTAACGATACTTCGTGCACTATGATAACTTCGTGTAAGCAAATACATTAGACAGACTTCATTTATTCAACGTTACCACATTCATGGGATAGACTATCACGACTTATAAAAATAGCCAAGCACGCTACTCAATAACAGTCAACTCGCCTATGATTTTGGATTCCAACAATCACACAGACGTCAAAAGACTGTATCAATTGTAGCAGGAATATAAACAGCTTGGTAAAAAAAACTCATCATTCTCCATCGTTGATGTCTGATCCTGCACAGATTTTCTTACAATTCCAATAGATCGTTTGTGTGCTGTATAAGTTAATAGTCTGTTTCAAAGGAACTTGAAATTCCGGAAATATAAAGGAACACGTATTACTTGTCACAGGCTAGTAAATATTCATAAAACACAGGACAATCCGAGGTGAACGGACCGCCCACAGCCAGAACAGCTCAATGTCTATTCGAATAAGAAGGCGCTTACTGCTGATGACTTTAGCGCTCCCAATATGAACTTTTTGGGTCCTACACACACATTTCATCATAAATTATTGAAAGTGTCGGCGAATCAGCCAAACTCAAAAACGTAATATTCGGAACATATGTGAAGGAAAGACAACCTAATCTGTTTCCTCTCAATTAAAGACAACTGCCTGGTGAACTCCTTCAGATCTACCGAATTGCCAGAGACCGTGAATGTGTCCTAAATTTCGATGACTTCTTCAAATCAGTTTTGACGGATCGTCTGAGCAGTCCTCCACTTAAACTGCACATGAATTTGACCCATACGGACGTCCGACGGAAGGCCTCCTCGCAGAAGGTTGTCGGAGAATGGAACGGACTGTCTCACGCGAGGTTCTTTCATAAACAGTTGAGACATTTGGATGTCAATTAGACGCTCGTTTGCTGAGAACCCACTGCAAATATAATCGCGATTGTCAGTAACAGCAGTTTGCGCCCGACTCACACATACCGAGGACTTCCATGTTTCCAAAATTACTGGTGTAACAATTGGTCATAGATCTATCTCTGGAATTATATAGGGAGATCAAGGGTGAAAACCGTTTTTTTTACTAAACCGACTTGAGCTGGTTTAGACTGTCTATGTTTTAGTCTTTTCCGAGGTGAAGAGATTGTCCACTGATGGAGTCTAGCGGTCATATTCTATTTTTCTTCAAATATACAAAATCAACGGTGTTTATAGGTGCCTCAAGAACTATTAAATCATTAACACTTCTCTTTACCATGCCGTCCTCATGATAAGGTCGGCGGTTTTTGGTCCTTAGAGCAAGAGGAGGGGGTAAAAGTGTCTTTGAGTGATGTTCTTGGATTGGGTACACGGAGTACCCATCACTGTAATTAGGGATTTGAGACGACATGTCGTCATCACGTGGGATTGGCGTTGGCCATGACATAGAGATCGCTTGTGTCAGGGTTTTCTGACAGCATAACACCGGGTTCGCTTGCCGTATAGCCACTGCCTCTGCCGTTGCTAGTATCCGTTGGCGTAGGCCTTTAAAAAAGCATGTTGGTGTCCGATAGACAACCTGAAATGCTTCCTTGGCATCGACTCAGTGATTCGATAGAACTCGAAATCGACCGGGCCTTATCTCTGTCGAGCCAGGCGGGCATATGTTCAGCACCCTCTTTACCAGGCGTCTTGTTTTGCGACCGATGTACCCCGCTCCACAGGAGCAAGCGAATGAATAGATGCACATTGATATGGCCTCTAACGGTAGTCTGTTTTTACCTCCCGAACGTAGGAAGGGAGAGTTTGTGGAGCATACGCGTAAATTTGGCGCGGGTTATATCCTCGTGATAGCTATAGTTAAGCGCCGTCTGACTAGTTCGCTAACTGAATCTCCTGTAAAAGACAATCATGTGAATGCATCTTTCTGTTCCGCAACCGCAACAGTGGGCTTTGCGGCGCGTTACCCAATATTTCGGAGGATAAACCTATCTGGATGTCCGTTCTCCCGAAGACTGTTCCGCAGCTGTTGGAGCTCTTCTTCAATAGCTTTAGGTGAGCAGATGCGTCTCACTCTAGCCGCCAATCCCTTGACTAAATTTCGTTTGATGTTTGGGGGAACAAGACTGTGGAAATTAGCGTATTGTCCCGTCCAAGTTTTCTTTCGAACACCTTGCGCTGGATAGACACATCCTCTTGCCTGTGCAGAAGGACATCGAGAAAGGAAATTTTGTCATCTGCCTCAGCCTCCGCAGTGAACCTTAGCGAGGTGTGCGCACTGTTGAGTTTTTGAACAAGGTCTTCGGTATCGGTGGTACCATCCACCAGGCAGAAGACATCGCGCACGTATTGACCGTAGAATACGAGGCCATTAATGGTGTCTTGCAATCTTGTTTTCTCGACTTTGCTCATAATAACGTTTGCAAGGAACGGTCCAAGCGGTGAACCCATTACCAAACCATCTACCTGCCTGTATAGTTGATCATTCCACAGGAAGTGGACTTTTAAATACCTCACGCCCTCTGTGCTTAACTACCGAGAGCGGTGGGATACAAGCGTCTGGAATCTAGACTTATTCATCATGTGCAGGCACGTTTCGTTGACATCGTAGCCAATCACTTTGCGTGGAGCAAATGCTGAAACATTTGGTGATAATTTTTGTCTTAAATTGTTTACTTAGACCAAAGTAAACGAATGACCATCCAACGAGTTCTACTTAAGAGAACTGAAAACATAATTTAAATGGAAGAATGGGTTTTGGTAACGCTTTTGTCAATCGGGATATGAGAAAGCCTGTAGGGAGTGCATGGGACAACGTAGCATTTACAAAAGTGAGTTTAACATTCTGAAAAACTACGCTAAGCTTCTCAAAGTTCTATACAGCCTTGCACATAATACTATGACAAATCACGATCTTTCTGAAACTTAGGTCCCGGGATTGAAAAGTAGAGACAGACAATCAAATGGCTGCACAAGGCATCCCTAATTTTCGGTCGGAAGCAATCCTTTCGTCTTCATTTTGAAGCCACACCAACAATAACTCTAAACTGCTTCATCTTAACTTGCAGATCAACTTTTATTCTCGACCGAATAAATACAGGCACGAGTATGTCACATGAAAATGCTACCATAAGAAGATACCACATTCTGACTATAGATTTTAATTAGTTAGGACTTAGTCCTACACGCTGGTTTGGAGGCCCGTACCACTGCAGCTAACTAAATATTGACAGCTCTGTTTCAGCCAAGAAAAATTCGTCGTTCGCATATAAATGAGATAAAAAAACAAAAAATCACAATATATGGAATATAGAACCTATAGGAAATTAATCTCCTATAGGAAATTAAATTTGCCATCAAATTATTACGAAACTTAAGAGGTGTCTTCAAAAGGCCTGACTTTGTTGCAACGCAGCGAAATCTGGTGAAAAGATAATAATGTCCATTAAAATTGTTGTTCAATCGGAGAAAATTTGGAATGGCTTTGAATTATCCTATACATCAGATTCTCTAATTTCGGCTGTTCAGAGGCCCACGTTACCCCCCCCCCTCCCCCAAAGTATCAGCACCCAAGGGGGAAGGAGGCATTTTTATCGGGCTGTATTATATTCCCACAGATTTTCCTGAATGCACGAATTTTAGGTATGTATAACGACACAGCAATCAAGGCGAGGGAAGGGCGTGACAAAAAGGTCGAGAATAAGGGGTACGG